CAAATAAATGAATTATCACAAGTACATGATGGGTTATTGGAGTTTGTGAAATCAGCAAACAAATCATCTAAATTTGTGCAGTCCTCAACAAGTAACTCAATAACATCCAAACTGAAAACAGAATGGTTCTCTGTTGGGTGTCTCATTGCTTCAAAAATGTTGAACTGCACCAAATTGTCACCAAACTCCATAGAAAGGGTCCCTGCATGCACATCTATCTTTGTTCACGCCGTCCTCAAGAATGGTCTCCCAAGGATCAAGGTAGCATGGCTGGGCTGGTCGTCCTCCATCTCTAGAATATAAAAATCAGCAGAAAAAAGGAGGTCCTCAACTTTGACAAGAACATCTTCCACGACACCAAGTGGCTGCACAGTGCTTTTGTTGGCTAGCTGGACTACAATTCCTGTAGGAATCAAATCTCTAATCTGCAATGATCTAAAAACAGATGCAGGCATAACATTAATTGAAGCACCTAGATCCAGCATAGCATTTGTAAAAACTTCCTCTCCAATAGTACAAGGATGGTGAAAGTTCCTGGATCTTTACACTTCTATGGTAACTCAAGGAGCAAGTCTTGTGGAATGATTGCAGACACATTCTTATTCTAGAGAAGTGCAGAACCATTTCTCCCCATACTCACTCGCTCATTACCTTTAAGCTTCCTCTTGTTAGTACACAATTCCTTTAGAAACTTTGCATATTTTGGAACTTATCGGATGGCATCAAGGAGAGAAATATTTACTTCTATTTTGCTGAACATGTCCAGCAACTCATTATCCGACTCTGGTTTTTTTCTTGCTGCTACTGGTCAGTTCGGGAAGGGTAGTGGAATATGTTTCTCAGTGGCTGCATCACTATTGTTTTCAGAATCTGGTGCTGCAGCTGCAACTGCTGGTAACTCTTTTCCACTTCGCAGTGTAATAGCACTCATATTTCCCTTTGGATTCATGACTGTTTGAGAAGGCAGATTACTGGAACCTTGAGACTAATCTAACTCAATTGAGTTGCTAGCTATTCAACCTGAATCTTCAAATCTTGGACAGTTGCTTGCATCTTCTGTTGAAACTGCAGGTTGTTTGTAGCCATCTGTTGCATCATCTCCTGGAATGATGGCTCACTCCTTTGTGCAGGAGGGGGTGGTGGAGGTGGCTGTTGCCTGAATGGAGGCTGATATTTGCCTACAGCAGGTTGAAAAGAAGGTTGTTGACTTTGTTACTGCTGCTATTGCCCCCCCCATTTCAAGTTTGGATGATCTCTCCAACCTGGGTTATATGTCTGGGAGTATGGGTTATAATTCTGATGCTGCTGATTTGGAGATCTATATTGCTGCTATTGGTTTGTGTAGATTCCAGAAACATTTGCATCTGTCTCTTGCAATATAGGACATGAATCTGTAGGGTGTTTAGTGGAACTACATATGCCACAGACTCTTACTGGTTGCTCACTTACTGCACTTACTTGTTGTTGACCAATTGCCAAATGCCTCACCATGGTGGTCAACTCGTTGATTTTGTTTTTCAGCCTCTGATTTTTCACACCATAAACAGCACTAGTACCAGAACCAAGTGCTATCTCATTCATTCCCTTAGCAGCTCCTCTAAATCCAAATTGTTGAGTGTTGGCTGCCATGTTTGTAATAAGTTGCCTTGCAGCATGTGGTGTCTTATTTATCAATGCTCCTCCACTTGCCGCATCTATCATACTCCTGTCCATCAAAGTTAGTACCTCATAAAAATATTGAATTAATAATTGCTCACTTATTTGATGGTGGGGACAGGTAGCACACAACTTGTTGAATCTCTCCCAGTCGTCATACAAAGTCTCCCCATTCAGCTGCCTTATACCACAAATCTCTTTCGTTATTGCTGCAGTTCTGGAGGCAGGGAAGAATTTTTGCAGAAATAACCTTTTTATTTGATTTCATGTACTGATTGTTGAAGGTAGGAAGTAAAGCCAATCTTTTGCAACACCATCCAGAGAGAAAGGGAACGCCTTCATCTTGACATGGTCTTCAGGCACTCCCTGAGGTCTCATGGTGGAACACACCACATGGAACTCTTTTAAATGCTTATGAGGATCTGTACCTGCAAGTCCATGAAACTTTGGCAACAAATAGATAAGTCCAGATTTAAGCTCATAGGAAATTGTTTCGTCTTCAGGATATTAGACACACCATGACTGATACACAACATTAGGTGTGGCCAATTCCTTCAAAGTTAGCTTAGGGTTATCAGTCATATCCTCAATTTCAATCTCAGATTCACTAACAGTAGGATTAACAGTTTCAGAAACACCAAGTACACTACCACTATTTTTGCTAGCTCTTATCCTATGAAGTGTTCTTTCTATCCCAGGATCAGGTTGATTCACTACACTAGGGTTGGCCCTGGTCATGTAAGGTTAGAACCAACAAGAATAACAAGTACTCAATGAATGAACAAAGTAGGTTTACAAAGCAAGTATCACCAAAATGCAAGATATGAATGAAGTGGGACCATGATAAATCTCTTTTTGGTATAGGAAAACACCACAAAAAATTTCATATTTTTTTGAATTGATTTACTATGGAAACTAGAAGCCTAAAATCAAGAAAAATAGGTGAAAAAATGCTAAAAAATGAAAAACTTTTAGAAAACAGGCGATTTTTGAAATTCTAAGCATATGCAATACACTTAATTTTGAGTTTCCTAGCAAAAGTTATGCAACTTTTAAGTTTCACAAAATTTTCTTGGCCACCACAATGTATCTCTTTTTCTATTAATGATTTTTGCAATCTACCAACTCTAAACACTAATAGACACTAAAAGAAATGTGGACACAAAAATTCAAATCAAAATTCGATCTCTAGTTATTTTTTTGGAATTTTTCAAAATCTGATGAATAGTGCATAAACAGTAAAATCTGATAGCAAAATATGCAGCAACTATGTTTTCTATTCCTACTAGTCCTCTGTTTTTGCATGCAGCCACAAACAATTGAACTACAATGGAACCAATCACAATCACACACTCAATTGCAATGAAATAATGGAATAGACAATCAAAGGAACACGACTAAACACTAAAACACGAATTGATCAACACACACATACGAATTGAAATGCAAAACTAAATCTGCAAAACTGAAACTGAAAACGGAAATGTAGCAGAAACACAGAATCAGTTAGTACACATGATGAAATAAAAACAAAATGACTTATGTCCCCGGCAACGGCGCCATTTTGATAACCACGTCGCAATGGTATCAAACAAACTAGATTTTCTTAAAAAATTTTGCAATAGAAGGAGTAAACCTAGGTCATCTCACAAGGACATAAAATACATTCTGTTTCTAGTTTCATCATGTAATTTCAGATTAGCTTAGGGATGAATTGTTTTGAATTAAATTGTAAACAACAGAAAAAACAAGAACAAAGAATAATTCTAACGAAACGAAATATGAAGTTCAACCAAATCAAGATCTCAATCACTACAACACAATTCTCATTGTTACACGAATACAATTCTAACGAATTTCCAATCAACACTAATTCAATACGACATTAATAACCCAAAATCTAAATCTAGATTATGAATTCTATCGAAACAAGAACTGCAATCGCAAATCCAATGCTATAACAAAATTCAGAAAAATTGATTTATTGAATTAGGTGAATTCATTTATTTCAAATATGAAATTCTTATTCTCTGTTTAGAATGCAAATGAAAATTCAATATCATGAAAAATGTAATTATCCTAATTAGAAAAGAGGAGGAAGAGCGAGAATTCAATAGAACCTAACCCAAAACTCAAATGCAATGTAGTTCTTAAAACCTTAAACCGATTGATGGATTAGCCTTGCTTCATGATCATGCTTGCTTTGGCCAAAACCAGAAAATATGAAAAGATGAAAGGTAGAGAGACAAAAATAAAAGAAGAAAGAATTTAAAATAGAGACTTTTTGATTCCTAAAAAAATTGCGGGAAAAGAAAAATAAGGATTCGTACATGGAGTCATAACCTCTATTTAAAGACAAAATAATTGGGCTTAATTAAGGCCCAACTCCCTAATGAGGTTCCTAAACACCTAACTAAGTAAAAGACAAAATAATTGGGCTTAATTAAGGCCCAACTCCCTAATGAGGTTTCTAAACACCTAACTAAGTAAAATCAACAATACAATCAAATTCTGATAATTTCAGTGCAGGGTCGCAACATTGTGACGCAAATTTGGACTAGAAGATGCTCGAACTGGGATTTTCTCCCAACAGAGAAGTTTTAGATCTCTGTCTTATATTTCCAAGGACACCAATTTTGTCCAATTCCGAGTAGTGTAACTCCAGATATGGTCTTTGTAAGAAATTATGTCAAAATAAGAAATTATGGCGGGAATTAAGAAATATTTATATTTAAATCCTAAATTACTTACTAACACAAATCTAAACTAACACATCAAAATAATGCATTAATGAAGCTCAATTAAACCAAAATATAGAGAGAAAGATGTACTGAAATATGACTATCAGTATGTAAAGAATAGAAGCCGACCAGAGGGGTGCATTGCTGAGCGATATTTAGTTGAAGAAGCAGTTGAATTTTGTACTGAGTACATGCAAATGTAGAATCAATTGGTCTTCCAAAATGCCGTCACACAGGAAAGATGGATGGAAAAGGTAGCACTGGTTGTCAACAAATTGAGGTTCCAAGAGTACAACGGGACCAAGCACACTTATATGTCTTACATAACACCCCTGAAATTGAACCTTTATAATAATGCACAAAGAAATATTGAAGGGTGCGAATCCAAACAGAGGTGAGAATTGGATTACAAAATAACATAACCAGAGATTCATTCCATGGCTACAAGAGTATGTTTACGAGCACGTGTTTGAGAATAACACCCCTAAAACAGAGAAGATTCAGTGGTTATCAAAAGGTCCTTGTGTTGATGCATTTTCATATACTTCTTACTTGGTGAACGGGTTTACCTTTTATACAAAAGAGCATGACGAACAGAGTACTATGCAAAATAGTGGAGTGACACTTGTTGCTGAATCGCTTCATATATCGACTGCAAAGGATAGAAACCCCATATATGTCAATATGTCATACTTTGGGGTAATTGAACACATATGGGAATTAGATTACACAAAGTTTTGAGTAGCAGTGTTTAGATGTAGGTGGATTGACAACAACAGTGGGGTTCACATTGACGATTTAGGATTTATAAGAGTTAATTTTAAAAGGGTGGGATATCAAAATGACTCGTTTATCCTTGCAGCACAGGCACAACAAGTGTTCTATATCCCTGATCCTATTGACAAGTCATGGAGTATTGTGCTGTTATCTAATAAGTTTAATTCTTTAACCGATGGTGAACTAATGGATGAAGAAGTTAATGTGGAGGACGAACCTTTAAGAGGTGTACAGCAAATGTCAATGAGGGATATAATAATAGATGATAGAGACCTTTATGCAAGACATGATTATGAAGAGGGTATTTGGTCAAATCCATCATTTCATTCCATTAAAGGGCATAGGAAACTTACTAAGCTCCCTAAGAAAAGAAAAAGGTTAATACACTTTTCGATTTAAACATAAATATATGTCTCTTTATTATTTTACATGTTCACTTCCACTCTCCAATTTATACTAACATAAATCTATTATGCAGAGATGACATCTTTTGATAACATTGAAGGAGGTTCTCCTTCTAAGACCCAACAATTGAAGAGGAAGAACACTCGAGGAAAACAAAATTGAAGGCAATTAGCAAGGCAAGGAAGTTAGGACAAAAGTTACAGGTATCAGTTGAAATCACCAATGCTTTAATGTGTTTTTTAATAATATATTATTAATTTCAATAAGTGTCATCACTTTATTTAAATTTTGCAGGTTGGATGGAATTGTAAAGGGCAACCGATTGACCCTAATAGATCTAAATTCTCCCATTTTATTGGATTTGTAACTAGAAGTACAGTGCCAATTAGTATATGTGATTGGACAAATGTGCCTACTAATCTAAAGGACCATATCTGGGAGCAAGTAGAGGTAAACTACAATTCTTTCTCTAAGTGTAGTATTATTAATAAATCATGTTGGGTAAAGCTGATTTACTTATTTAGCTTTCATTGTAGGAAACCTTTAAAGTGCAAGAAACGAACAAAGTCTTTGTACTTGCATTAGCTGGACGGCATCTCCATGCATTTCGTACACGAATGAGGAAGCATGTCTTTGATAAAGACGGTAATTGTCTCCCCCACCCTCCTGAGAAGTATCAGAGATTCATTACTGTCACTGATCACTGGAACGAGTTTGTAAAGCAAAGCTACGCAGAAGAGTTTAAGGTAATATAAATACACTTTTATTATATATTTCTATTATCTGTGTTTGACTTGGTAATCTCTGCTGATATGTTTTTGTTTTCATTTTGAAAAACAATATTTAGAAAGAAAGTGAGGCCAATGCTGCTAGGGCAAAAGGAATGTCGTATAGATATAGGCGGTCATCTAAGGGATATGCTCAGTTGGAGCTGGAATTGGTACTATCTGTACCATTTTGATATTTGCATTTATTAGGTTATAGTCTTATGTAATCAAATGTTGACGAGTTGTAATTAATTAATGTTTATTTTTTTGTAGATTGCTGCCTCTGGGTCTAATGTGACCTCTGTACCTCGACATGTCTTATGGAAGGCTGCTAGGGTTAATAAGCAAGGTGGTTTTGATGATGAAGGAGTTCAAAAAATAGTTGCTGAATTTGTAAGTATAAATAACATAGTTCATTTTGAACAGAACCTTTTATACACTGATCATATTTTTGTTTTGTTCGTTATAAGAAACCCTTTCACAGGTGGGTATGGAGGCTGAGTCTGAATCAACGGCCAGAAACGACATATTGGGTAAAGCTCTTGGTGTAAAAGAACATCCTGGTCGTGTAAGAGCTGCAGGTTTTGGAGGTTGCATTCGGCTCAACAGCTTCACATCCACACCCATCATCTACTGAGTGGCAGAACATGAAGCATTGGGTAGCGCATCTGACAAGTGTTGTGGCACAGTTGATTGGGGGTCAAGGACTGCCCCCTTTCATGTCTAGTCAAATGCCTTTCAACCCTACTGCCACTCCACCACCATTTATGCCTACTTCCATGCCACCACAAATGGGTATTCCCCCTCAAATGCAACAAGCGGTGGAGGGAGGTCACCATCTGCAGCCAGAACTGCCATGTAACAGCCAAAGAGGCAGTTGTACACCAGTTGCATCTGTAGAAATTCCAGAGGTACAATTCAACAACAGCAATTTAGTTACTTTTAAATTTATTTTTAATGACGTACGATTAATTTTTTATTTCTAACCTTTAATAATGTATGTATTATAGGTGATCACGACTGCATGCTGTATTTGAATACCCCATATTGCGTGGTTGCCAGAGGGAGAGTTTCGAGAACAGTAGTTGGGGACTCCTTACACAATACTGCTCTTCCTCCTCACCATTATAAGGTCTCAATAGAGATAGTGCAAAGACAGGAAGAAGACACTGCATTGCCTGTTCCTAATGAAGAAACAAACCTCAATTGCTTGAGAGATGCAATTGGAACTTATGTTGTCTGGCCATTGTCCCTAATCACTTTACGACCCAAGGTATATAATCATAATTTTCTTTGCAGCATTCCAATGTATGCATTTAATTTTTCATTTCATTACACAAACTCTTTGATGTTATTTCAGGTTGCCCCATCATCTAGTAGAGGGTTAGGGAAAGGGACAGGTCACACAAAGAAATCCATTGCTGGTCCAAGCAATAAATGTGTTGTTTCTAATTCGTCTGACCTTCCTGAGTTGGCACAGGCTCAAGGTGCTGCGTGCTTCGATATGATGAAGCTCTATATAAGAAGTGATCAAGCCATTGACAATGTAAGTATTCATATGACAAGTCAGCATTGGGGAAAAGAATTTACTAACATTGTGGGAAAAGAAAACATATAAGAGGTCATACGTCGCCATTGGTTGAGCGCCTCCAGCATCAACCTTTACATTAGGTAATTCTTTAATTTATACCAATTGTATAAATATCTTTCTCCCATACGAAACTTGATGTTAACTACCTTATTTAATCTCATTTCATTCATCTTTTCAACTACAAGATATTTGTGTGAAGCTTACTTGGAAGGGACCAATATGGCAAGTAAGTTTTCATTTATATCTCCCTATGAAATAGATGCGAACCTCAATCAGACCCCACATCAACATATAGCTGACATTAAAGCGTTATATGGGTGAAGATCACTTAATATTCGCACCTTACAATGTTGGGTAAGTCAATCTTATGACCATGCATATAAGTTTTATCATTTTCATTATCATATTTAATTATTGTAATCTTAAACATTTGGTAGGCAACATTGGATCCTAGATTCTATCAACACCTTTGATGAGACAATGTATTATATGGATCCTCTCCGCAAACAGATAAAGACTAGACCACATATGCAAAACATATTTAATAAGTAAGTATACATGATTTTACCTGTTAGCTGGTCTATCATATATGAATCTGCTTTCATTTAATTGTAAATTTGTTCTTGCATTTTATTATTAGTGCTCTTGTCACATATCGAGTTGAGAGAAAAGTGCAGCCCTCTAGGACAAAGATGCATCAAACAAATTGGGTCACTATACAGGTCTCAATATCGTTTGACAAAAAACTCTTTTAACTTCTTTTATAACACTGCATAATTTACACTCAATATTGTCCATTTATTAATCATGTTTTTTATGTTTTTTTCCTCCACATACAGTGTCCTAAGCAATCAAATAATGATGACTGTGGATATTATGTGTGTCTCTTCATTAGAGATGTTTTGCACCATGGACAGACTACAATCCCATTTAATGTAAGAGGAGTGCATATCCAAAATTATTTTATATCACTAAGTGTTTATTAGGATAGTGTCTACCCATTTGAATTATATCTAATATAACTAAGATTTGTATTTTGTTTTCTTTTCAGTATTATCCAGAGTTTCAATTACCAACCTTTCCTGACAACACAATTCATCAAGTTCAAAGGGAGTGGTGTACATATATGTACCATAGATATTTGAAGGACACATTAAGCACAATTGATTCTTAGTACTTTTTTTTTTTTTTTACAACACCTAGTCATAATTCTATCATTCATTAGCCAAAAGTGTATATAGATTGCTGAGCCTTTTTAATTGCGAACGTTCTGTGTAATTGTATCTGTACAGATTCGTATGCTGCAAAATTTATTTGATTTCTGATTAATATATGTAAGCAATTGTATCTGTAATGTGGTTGGTTTATCTTTGTGGTTATCACAGGTTGTTGTAAACTGTTTGCAATATTTTATGGTAATATGTATGCAAAAAATTGGGATAATGATATTCTGTAAAGGGCCCTGATGAAATAATTTTAAATTTAAGAGAGCGGTTCAACAACAACTGCTCTCAAAATTACACTTTAGAAAGCGGTTAAAGAAAAACTGCTAAAATAACCACACCTTAGAGAGCGGTTAGTTGGAACCGCTCTCAGAAAGCTTGACATTAGAGAGCGATTGGCTGAGGAACCGCTCTCCAATCTTATCAACTCTTAGAGTGGTTTAGCGCTAACTGCTCTCTAAAGTGCCATTTAGAGATCGGTTGAGAGGGAACTGCTCTCCAAGGGTTAACATATGAGAGCGGTTATTTGAACCGCTCTCCAAGGGTTAATATTGAAAGTGGTTATTATAAACAACCGATATAGAAAGTGACACTTTTTACATCGATTTTTAACAACAGATGTAAAAAATCAGACTTTGTACATCGATTTTTAACAACCGATATAAAATGTCCTAAACTTTTTACATCGCCTATATCTACATCGGATACGAAACTAATGTAAAAAGCCTCTTTTAACCGATGTAAAAAGTCTTTTTTCCACTAGTGACGCAAAAAGAGAGAGAGAAAAAGGTAAAGAAAAATCTATATTCTCTAATTTCATACTTTTCAATACTTTTAACTATTAAATTAAAAAATATTAAACATTTTTAAAATTAAAAAAATATGAATATATTTTTATTGAATACATACTTTATAAAAGACTAAAAGAAATCGAAAGAAAATATATTAAACTCGAAGAAAAGAAAATGTATATAAAATATAAAACAGTGTCTAAAATATTATTATTGAATTCCTATAATTTTCAATAAAAAAAATTTATACTTAAAATTCCTCAACAATATTCGTAGACACTTATCCAACATGATTTATATATTAATGATATTGATGTAATGTATTTCTAGCTGACATAAATGTATTTGCCGAGGCTCACATCGTCAACATAAATATCAATTGATTTGAGATCTAACTAAAGTTGAGCTTTAGGCACCGAAAGGCCCTAATGAGGCAGAGTTGAAACCGGGGAGGAAAGAAGCTCTTTAAATAGTTTCATATTTCAAGGTAACTTCTAACTGTCTCAATATATATTCTTCTGCTCTTTTTTCTATTCGAAGCATTTCTCTATGTTGAATGCTGAATTAAACCATCCATGTATGATTTTTATTTGTATCATTGTTGGAAAAAATTTCCTTCTGAACAAGGAGGAGATTAAGAAGTGGTTTTTTCCTTTTTTGAATTTCAAAGCATTCAAAGTACTTGCTTATATTTCTCATGTCATTCAAGTCAACGTGATAAAACACATGACAATATACAATTGATCGAAACTTCTTATGTATAATTTTTTTTTTTTAACCAAATTTTATACCTGATTAATACAGTGCAGGCAGAATGAAGGCTTCAAAATATAAAGAAAATTCTAAACGCAACGAAGTGCTTTTAACTTGTGCTGCGACTCCTTTAAAAATGGATATAGAACATAACGGATCATCTACAAATAGTATACCTGAGAGTGGTGAAGAATTTAATCTTTTCCAGTCCACTGGGCAACCGAGACTCGGTGCCCAGCCACAAAGTGATAACAAAATCAATTGGAAGTTACTAAGAGAAGCATGTCTTTCAAATGATGTTTTTACTAACTCTGAGAGTGACGTCTTAAAGCAAAAAAGTCCTCTTTGTAATAATATGTTACATATAGCTGCTAGTCTTGGAAATGATGAACTTGTGAAAAAGGTAATTCCAAAAGCCCCACATCTTTTGACCGAAGAAAATTTTAATGGTGACACTGCACTGCATGTTGCTGCAAAATGTGGCCATTTCCCTGTTCTTGAGAGTTTGATATTTGGTCATTTTAAAATCTTCCAAGAGGCTTTGGACAAAATCTTAATAAAAAATAAGCTTGGAAACACATTTTTCCATGAGGCTATAATTAATGGTGACGAAGAAGAATTGCTTTCCCTACTTTCTCATTTTAACGAGGTGTCAAAGAGAGCTACACTATTAGAAATAAACAATGAAAAGAAATCAGGTTTATATTTGGCAATTGAGGCTGGCTACAAGCAACTTATTGATAAAGCACTAAGTGAAGAAATTATGCAAGACTCAAACTTTGTTACTCGAGGAAAATCACCCCTTCTTGCAGCAATCTTGAAGCAAGACGAAGGTACGTATTGAGTATCGAATTTTTTTCGTGTTCTTTATACATTCTATCTCCTTTAAGACATCCTTGCAACATAAGTAAATATCTAATGTTGAGTATAAAAATAGAAATCCATTTATCAAGGATTGGTTTGTTTAACTTGATTTGGTAGTTTTTATTTTATTTAATGAAAATTAAATTATTAGTATAAATATTATGACAAATTATTTTTACACCCTGTGAAAGTTTAATAAAATTTAATTTGATATTCTTTCTTTTTTATCCAATACAAACTCCTTTTAATTTATGTAATAATGTAACACCGCATATTTTTCTTGATTACTGAAATATTTTTTTAATTTTTTTATACAATTATGAGTTAAATATACATATAAAGACGGTATTATAAGCAAAATTTTAATAAACATCAATGTAATTTGTTCTAAATATTATATGTCTATGCTAGTAATATTATTATAATATTAATAAATGATTTTATTTGTTTAGAAAATTAATTTACATTTTATAATTACATCATATTATTTTAATAATATATTTTATTATTTGTGTAGATTAATAAGTATATTTAATTTTTTTTCAAGTATTTATACTAACGATGACCGACTAGATGACAAACTATTTTTGAATGATTTTTTTGGTAGTACATAGATGTAAATTTCTTCTCATTTTAAAACACACTCTTAATCGATTATTATTTATAAAATATGCAGATATTTTAAATACTATATTGACAAAAAAGCCAGGATGGATTCATTTAAGGGATACAAAAGGAAGGATTCCTCTTCATTACGCAGCATCTATAGGTTATAAAAAAGGAGTTGATTATTTGCTAAAACAATGTCCTTCATGCTCCATGGAAAGGGACGGAGATGGATTTTTTTCCACTTCATTTGGCTTCTTATGCTGCCCATGTTGAAGTAGTCCAAGAATTACTAAAACAAGAATATTGTCCAGATCCTATGGAAATGCTTGATAATGATGGTCAAAATATTCTTCATCTTGCGGTTAAAGGTGGAAATTTTAAGATGGTAAGGCACATTTTACAATCCACTGACGAAGGGGTTCAAAAAATGATAAATAGCCAGGATATTAATGGGAACACTCCCTTGCATTTGGCTGCCTTGCACTGTCATCCAAAAATTGTACTTGTCTTGACATGGAAAAAAGAAGTGAATCTGAATTTAGTTAACAAAAAATATCAAACAGCTCTCACTGCTTTTAAGCCACCCCTAAATCCATCTCTTCGACAGGCAAGTAACATTTCTTTAATTTTTCATACACACATGTACTTTTTTTTATTTAATATATACTTTATAAAGTAATAAAAAATTATTAGAAAGATTTATAGAAAAATATATGAAAACTCAAGAAAAATAGATGTAGATAAAACGTGAGAGAAATTATTATTGAATAAATTTTAACTAATCTTTTAATTTAGGTCATGATTAAAGAATCAAAAATATTTTTTTATTATATTAGTACACTTCCCAACATAATTTTTAATACAATTTAACATAATTTTTCAAATAAATGTTTTCTCTTTAATTCTTTGAGCAATGGCATGCGCAATCGTCAACATGCCTTTATTATTGTTTATTTTATGTATTTCTAACCCACATATATGCATTTGCAGCAACTAACATGGTCAGCTTTAAGGTCTGCTGGCATGCAATCCAATAACTCAGTGTTATCACCTATTAAAATCCCTCCGAAAAGTAAAGATTTATGGAAGCGAAATTGGTTGCCCCGACGCGAAAGCATGGAACCATACAAGGACAGAGTTAACACTCTTATGTTGGTTTCAACCCTTATAATTACGGTAACATTTGCTGCAGGTTTCACTATGCCCGGTGGCACTAATAGCTCTGATCCTGAACATGGCATGGCTCTAATGCTAAATCGGATATGGTTCAAATTATTCATCTTTTGCATTACAATATCAATGTATGGTGCCATTAGTGTTACTATCATACTCATTAGGGCCCAACTTGGAGATATAACTTTGGCACTTCTTGCCCTTAAAGTGGCAAGGTATCTTCTAGGAATCACTCTTGCAACACTGTCTTTAGCATTTTTGGCTGGTGTGCACTTGGTTATTAGTGATCTCAGTTGGCTAGCCACTTCTTCCTTGGTCTTAGGTTTGGTATTCATTTTCTTCTTGTTGTTGTTATACATTCTCCTTTGGTTTCCCTCATCGTCAAGCAACCCAATAGTCAGACGTATGTCCTACTATCCCTTTTTGTTGCTAGCATTGTTGGTTGAACCTGATGAAGAGTAATTTGATTTCACATATTTAAAAGCATTTCTCCATTTCTTTCTAATACTTGATTATTTTGAGGGATTGAAGTTTGATTTTTTTTTTAAATTTTATTTGTCAATGTTCGAATGTTTTGCTAATCATTTTGTGCTACTCGAACTATCTCGTTTGGAAGCATTCTATGTGGCACCATGACCCAATGTGCACATTGTTAATCATATAAAGTAATTCGGTACAATTAGAAGAAAGGTATGAACGTACAAGCCACAAACATTTCACCTCCTTCACTTATGAAGCTCGTCACAATATAATATAAACATTGATATAATCATCAAAGTAAATTACATTCACACACTTTTTTAGAATTAGACAAAATTTTATTAAATATTCTTTCTTTTTTATTCTATGCAAATTCTCCTTAATTTATGATATATTGTAACATTTTATACCTTTCTCGATTATACAGACAAAGAATATCGAGCTAAATTTTATTAAACTTCAAAAAATATAAATATAATTTGTTATATATTGTCGCAACCGGGCGGTCGCAACGGTACGGCGAAAAACGTTTTTTTAAAAAAGTATCAGAAGAGTCGCCACCAAAGTTTATTTTAAGAAAAACCTTGAAAAAACTTAAATATAATACGATCTTTGAAACCAAAAATGAGTTCGGGAGTCATTTACATGTAGGGAAGGTATTAGCACCCTACAACGTCCATTTAAAAAACGGTTACCTAAAATTAATTGTGCAAATTCATTCTAATTTTGAAAAATATTTATTTAATCCCTAAACATTAATTATTTTTATTTTAAAAGAAGAAATATTATTTATTGAGATATTATTTGGATTATTTTGACAAAGAGAAAATTTATTTTGAAAATTATTTTGACTTGACGGGTTCGGTTCCCGCTCCTACGTATCTCCAGGTGCAATGGGGAACTCAAAGCCACGTAGTTCTTATCTAAAAAATTATGAAATTAGTTGATTATAATTAAGTTTAGTAAGAGAAAATTTATTTTAAAATTAAAATTATTTTGTAAAATTATAATATTTAGAATACAAGATAACGCGGTTATACATGTACTCTACGAGAAACAATACAGAAAGTGAAGGAAGATCACACAACTATATTGCAAATCGTTAAAATATTTCATTCGTAAATCAAGTATTTGAATTTTAGTTTTGATTATGATTAATGTTGAAAGAGAATTTAAGATAGCGTAAGCTATACATTAATCTCTTATAATTTTTGGACAATCGAAGGTAATGTAAATCACACAACGGTATTGTAAAAAATTGTATAATAAAATAAAAAAATGGAGAAATAATTGATTATTTATCAAAATTAGAAATACAATTCAAGAAATTTTAAAAATATGAAATTAATTTCATTTTAAAAAAAATTATTTGAATTGATTAAAGAAGATACTCATTTAATAAAAACATTAAAAATTTCATTTGATAGATTTATAAAACCTAAGGTAACGTTGGTACACATAGATTTTGACAATTTATAACGCATAAAGATAGAGTCGCTACATATTAGCATTATAAATTGTTTCTTAATAAAACAATTTAGATTTAAATTAATTAATTGATTCGTAAGTTAGTATTTTGAAGAGAAATATATCTTGTATTATTATTAGAGTGGTTAAATAATTAATTAATGACGATATATGATAAATTAATATTGCATAAAGTCTTGGTAACGTAGGTACACATAGACTTTATCAATTTATAATACATGACGATAGAGAAACTATACGTTAGTATTATAAATTGATATAATTATATTATTATTTATTAATTAATTATACCAAAAAAAATAAGTAATTTAGTATTCACAATATAAGATAAAGTAATCATAAATATAAAAATTAAATCGCATTAATATTCTACAAATATATAATAAATAAAATAAAAGATAACAATCCCAAAAAGTAAAAAAATATAAAAAAAAATGATAATTAAGATATGAACAATAAAACATCATAAAAATAGGAAGGATTTATTATTAATGTTGAATGTGATAAAAGGAAACTCAATAATATAATAAAATAACAAATATTGCATTTGATCAATTTTAATAACTTCTAATTATAATTATTTTAATTATTATTATTATTTTAGAAAAAGAGAATACAATAAAAAAAAGTAAAATGGATTAAAGGACACTACAGCAATAAAATACAGCAAAACACTAAACATGGATAAATCAAAATAAAATTTTAGATAAAAAAAGGGACATAGTTACGTTAATGATTTGATAGAAATCAACTAGTATGTGGCATTTGTTGGAAATCAACTAGTATATGACATTTGTTTTGCTTCGAGCCTTGCACCCACTATGTCAAATCAAATGCTTTATATAAATAATATAATATTAAATCTCAATCATGAAAAGAAGATAGGAAGAAGATATTTAGTTATTCAGCATTTTTATTCTTTCAAATGCATTTCGATAGCAAGTTTTTGGTTCATTTATATGCATTCTGAGAGTAAGCTTTTTCGGTTCGTTCATATTCGTTCTGGGAGTAAGTTTCAAAATGTAAAATAAAAACAAAAGGTGACTAACCTTACAAATACAACAACATACGAAGAATAGTTCGAGCTTTGGGTCAAAGGGATGGTATGGTATTCTCTTCTTTTCTCTATCCCTCTTCTCCTCTGTTCAGAATTTTTGTAGAGAAACCCGTTGCCTTTTTAATTTTTGAAAACTTCTCCTCTCAATTTTTCTGCTTTCTTTTCCCAGTCCCCTCCTTTTGAAAGATCTTGCCGCTCTCTTAAGTTTTCGTTTATGAAAAGTCGTCCCCCCTCCCAGATTTCTTGCTTATATATTTATATTGGTCATTTTTAGGGTTTAACATGGAGACAAAATTCTGAAGCTTTCCCTTTCTTACGTATGGACTTTAGTCTGGGAGCTGGGTGTAAGCCTGCTTGATGCAGGATTTCCGTTTCTGGGACCAAATCTCTTTTTTCAAAATTTTCTATTTTTCTGTAAAATAATTTTATTTTATTTTTATAAATTAAAAAAAATTTGGAAGCCATTCCGAAAATACAAAAATTGGTATTCACATATATATATATAATAAACGGACTTTAGAGCCTAAACACAAACCTAAACCTAAACAGCATCTCTAGGATGCTAAGAACTTAGAGCATCTAGAGTTAACAAATGAAGTAAATAGGTGGGGCTTTATCAAGCAAACAAAACGACAGCTTTAAATTTGGCCAATTAATTAGCATATTGGTTGGCTTTTATGAGAATATGACTAAATTTCATAAACCTAATACATTTTAGCAAATTCTTAATTTTTCTAATTATGTGGATTTTTTTTTCTAACACAACAAACTTAAGACTCTAATAAACTCCCAAGAGTTCAGCAGCTAGGGGAACACAAGGGTGCAGGGCCCCATAAAATCAAACTATGAATCTTCTTTTACCGTCCCCGAATGAGACGTCTGCAGCTAGCATAATCAGAACTTTGAAAATTAGCTCAATGCATATTTAGTTTGAAATGCGATTGAACAGGAGATTGACATTTTATATGAGTATCAATAACGGCAGAACCAATATCCTGATTGACCTTACGACAAGAAAGAAACAAAATCAAAATTATATAAGATTTTATCCAATTGAGATTCAGTATTAAGATGAAAATTCTAGAAGATAGTGCTATTCCTGTTTCTCCATAATTCCATATTCCATCCCAAACCAAACATTCTAGTAGGGATACATTTTAAAATTCTCAATAAATAGGTTATCTTTCAGGCAACTATGCAGGGCTTTACTAAAGAAAGGGGCCTAATTTTTAATTAGGAAGAACTAGTTGATTTTATTTTTTTTTTGTTTTTGGCAAATCAGCAGTCTCTAAGAACATGGCAAATTTAACATCCTCCCTATACGTAAAACAGTATGGATTATTAGTCATTCTTCTACTGCATCTCTCAATGTTAGTTATCAATCTACCATGAGTAACTTTCCAAAGAAAAATAAAAATTTTAGGTGGATGCCCCCATTTTCAGACCAAATTAAAAATATTATTATTGATCTCTCCACCTTCCTCGAACGAGGTATTCAGATTATATGCTGATTTTTTGAAAAAAAAAATTGTTACTAGAATGTTTCCAAAAGAAAAGATCCTCACCTCTAGCCCCAACAATAGGAGAAATTTGAGAAATGGATTCACATATATTGGCAAGAACCATAGACCTTATTCTAGGCCAATCCCAACTGTTGTGAGAAAAAAACAAAGTAACATGTGCATTTAGATTATACTCAGGGATAGGTTGCAGTGCATAATTGGAAAGACTCTGGTGATTCTGCACCCAATTATCCTCCCAGAACCTAATGATTTGTCCATCTTCTAGATAACAACCCTCTCCAAACATGAGATTGATTTTGGTTAATTTTTAGAGCATGGAATCTGCCAAGGGTGAATTTATACTTCCTACATAAGACTTGAGCCTATAAATCATTTGTGAGATTATGAGTCTCTACCAAAGTGTCATAAAAAAAAAGTTTGCTTTACAATGCTAATATTTCTAAACCCTAAATCCCTTTTATCCTTAGGTTTACATATTTTACTCCAACTGATTAAGTGACATTTTTTGTTACCTAGAACCTTAAATGGACCTTTTACAGATATTATCAATCTCCTTGCAAACAGATTTAGGGATGATTATAGACTGCATAAAGTATGTAGGTATGCTCATGATATAAGACTGAGCTAAGAGAACCCTACCTCTCATAGACAAAGACTTCAATTTTCATAATGAGAGTTTTTTTCCTGACTTTGTCCATTATAAAAGAAAAATCCTAGAAGGACTAAGGTGGGTAATGGGTATGCCTAGGTATTTACCAAACTAATGCACATGATTAAAGTCTAAGCACTAGTAAATTTCTTGAGCAATTACAAGATCACAATTTTTCAAAAAGAAGACAAAGGATTTATCTTTATTAATAGTTAAGCTAGAAGCAAAAAGATTTCACTAAGGGCATTTCTAATCACATCAGCATTAGATTTATCAGCTTTAGCCACTAAAATTATGTCATCAG